ATATATATATATATATATATATATATATATATATTTACTTTATTTATTTATTTATATTCATATGTTATATTTCAGTTTTCCTACTTACAGTTGCATGATTTCTTTAAATTACGGAATTTAAATTGAAGCTGTCATATTTCTTTTTTCCATTGTTCATTAAGTAATTTGCCATAGTTTTTTTGATTGTTTCTTTCTTTTTTTAAATTTATCTGAGAAACATCGTATTTTTTATTATTTCATTTAATAGGATTCTGATGAAGATATTGATACAAAGCAATCTGTATTAATTGGTGATGATGGGAAGAAAACTTTCATCCAGCATGTTGTTGTACCGTCACAAAAAGAAATCGAAAATTTGATTTTGGAAAGAAAGAAAGCTCAGTTGTTTGAAAAGTATTTAGGAACCTCACTGCATTCGTAAAAAGAGATTATTTTCATTTATGCCGAAATATTTTTGTGGAGCAAAAGCATTTTTTGCCTCGAGATACTTGTAATTTTCAAATATTATGATATAAAGTTGTTGCATAAAACTAATGAGTCTTAATAATATTGTGTGAAAAAATAAATAGCGCTGTATCGATAAGCCTTGTGTAATATTTTGTGATGTATAGATAATTTCAAGGATTTGAAGATATCGTATTGTTGACTTCAGCATATGAGTTTTCATATGTGAGGTACTTCCATTACGTAATAATATATATGGCTTTTGCAATGAAAAATTGCAGTTATTAGAGTTTATAAAAAGGTTTTTTTTATAATATACAAAAGACTAGATTTAAAAGTAATTTGAAAAGCAGAATGCTGTTTCAATAATCTATGCAATGAATAGATGCTCTCTTACGTAATCTGAGAGCGGAACAGCGTTGTATAAATACACAGATGGGTAGTGGAGATGTTTAAATTCATTCTTTTTCTGCATTATTTGTTTCTGGAATATAAAATAACTAGCAAGAGCAACTAGTTACTGAAAGTCATTACGATGGCGATGAAATACTAACTACATTAGTAAGTAAAATCTTTGCAATGACATCTTAGTCTGCAAACTTGTGCACGATCCCTTTTTTCTCGCGGCCATTTATTTTATGAGCTTGTATAAGCATTTTCACATCACGTCTGTGCAAGATTGAATCTTTAGTTAGTGCTTCAATTGCAGCTGTTGCTACTGCTTCTTGTCGTCGCTGTTGTAGTGCCTCTCGATATTGCACTGCAAACTGCCTTACATTTGGATTACCTTTTTATTTCAACAATTTTGTTGCAATATTGAAAATACTATGTTTTGTAGTATTTGAAACCACGCTTCAATTACATTGGTATTCATAGTTTCAAGCTTATTTAACGATGTGCTAAATATTTTCTTTGTATTCAATAGCGAACTGGAAATGAAATATCTAGTATAAACAGCCAATTATGAGAGCTCGTTATGATAGTGAAGACAAATACAACATATGGGACGTATTTCTCGTATCACTAAATAAAGTGATTAGTACAGTTTCTACAGTTCTGTGACTACTTAGAATGATGGTTCAGTAAACTCCAAAAAGTCATTACAGAAGACTTGACAAATTTTGAGAATACTTCTGAAAGTATGCTAACAAATAATTTGAGTGCAAAATTAAACTTACTTGAGTGAATTATTATTAAGCCACCCCATGCAATTGACCAGAACCATCCAACAAATAAAAATGTTATCGTGAAGAATTGACTAACGCCAACCAAAAAATTAACAAGTAGTGTTACCAATTTACGACCTTCTTTGAAATGGATCCGAGGTTGTCCCATGCATAAAGCACTCAACCCACTTACGATTGTACCTATGTAATGAAGAAGACTATATTCCAGTTGACAACATCTTTCCTTTGCGGTGCAGAATTTCTCGATTTACTGATACCACTCAGAGTAAACTCTTTTTTCAGAACCAAGTTTTGATTGCATATCTACATGCTGCTTATAAACGTGTTAAAGTTCCGACAGGTGAAACATGCTGAAACTTATGCTTCTTTTTCTACTCAAAAGTTTTGTCAAAAGTTAATTTGTGAATTATTCGCTTAATTTTGAATAAATCAGCACTGCATGACTAAATTTTTCATTATACTCATCATCACCTTATAATTATACTCATCATTACCTGATAATTATAGTAGCTTATAATTATCAGGTAATGAAGAGTATAGTAAGTGTAGTTGTACATGTATTCATCCTTATGCATCAACTGAAATTTGCAAGGAAGTGTGGATAGTACGGAATAAAAATTTTAACTCAACAAAACTGGGCAGATTTTCAGTGCTTATTTCCGTCGTTGCTAAGGAAATGATTGTTTTGAAAAGGGTTGAAATTTTTGTTGAATATTTTTTGCTAACTCTGAACTGTTTTCTTAATTAGTAATTCTACTGATTCAAATTATGGGTGACTGTAATTGCTGTAAAAGCACTGCTTTTATGTTTTTAACAAATTTGAATATTTTTGTTTTTTGCATCCTCTGTGCAATTTGCTGCAAAATTTCTTGATTATCTTGTTAATCTCAACCAAAACTTGCTGTATCCGTACCTGATCCTGGAACGATAATGTTGAGAACGAAGCAGAGCACAGCAACCGGTACTGGTAGAAACGGTATTGCTTCATGCATCATTGTGATATCATTGCTAGGTAACTGTACTCTGTCTGAAGAACGATGTTCACGAACTGCTTTTTCCTGTGATTGCTGTACCACACTAGGTATGCTACGGAATAATTTTGGTTGCTGTTGCTGCTAGAAACCATTTTATTTTGCATATATTTGCACCATTGTGCATTACAACATTTAGCTTAACATTGAGACTTTGCGAAGTCAAAGATAATATACGCAAAATTTTCTGATGCTCCCTAGTAAAGTCGAATAAATCCTCATACAGTCTGAATTATCAACATTTTAATGTAAAAATAATTCGTAAGATCAAAATTGATATACTGATTACTAAACTTTTTTGACTATAATTTTTTACTCTCTCTCTACGCTGATTTTGTAATGAGTGACAACAAAATTTTATCAAATATATTAATTAATGGGTTCAAAAATATTTCAATTAAATTAGATTGAGGCATGACAATAAAAATTATGATGATATGAAAACTAAGAACTCAGTTTTGGATTTACTCTGCTATGGCTTTAGACTTTTGATAATGAGAATATAATCTTTTTGTTGCTTGCATTGGCTATTGGCTATTAATGTTGTCGATAGAAAACTTTCTACTGCCCATCAGCAGCCCACCACTAATCAGTAAGAAAAAATGAGACAAACTGTAATATTACGTTTATTTAATTTCAATTTCTACAGTGCATTTAATTCTTTTCTGACTTAAAAGCATAAAACAGTTTTAGAACATACATAGTCATAAGCTCTCTGCAGTATACCCTCAGAAATACCATACTGAATAATACGCGGAAGTGCCTTCTGCACTGTCTTCCAACCTCGTAATCTGTCGCCTTCCGAATGTGTTATAATGTCTTCAGCTAAAAAACTATGCCTTCACGAATTATTGTCTTATAATTGTGCTATTCCAACTGATTACATTCAAAAATTTCCAAAATTGATATAAAATAACTTTAGCTAAAATAGAACAAATGTATTGTAAGATTGGTATCAAGTTTTTATACAATTCACATTCGATTACAAACTATCAAAGATGCGACCAAAAATAAAAAGTTAATGAACATATTTTTAAGGAAAATGTACACGATCTTAAATCTAGTCGACATACTCTAAATGATAATTGGAAAAGTCATAATCAATATGAATTTATCCAATATTTAAAAACCTCAGAATTGGACAAATAACCCTAATAATTAAATTTCAAAAAAATCAAATAAGCTATTGCGTATTTCATTAAAAATTACCATTAGAAAATTAACATGTGCTGCTCATCGAATCATTTACTTTACTATTAATTATAGCTCTAATGAGTTATAAAAGAGAACGAGTCTCCAATTTATTGCATAAAATTGAGATTAGTGCATTAGCTGTCATTTGAAAATTAAAATCATTGTAAAAAGTGCATAAAAAATTCTCTTAAATGAATTATAGTTAGATTTTAAGTATTTGTTCCAAAAAATATGCAAAATAATAGACAACTGACCGATACTGAAAATTGATACATCTGGTTCAAGATCATTGTGGTCATTTCTATTCAACATCAACAGCTTTATCAAAATGTTTTATGCAAATTTTCTGAAATCGCATAGAACTTCGTTTTGAATTCATTCTTAGAAAGATTTATTCGATTAATTTATTTTTACCACAATTTCAAAATTTACAGAAAGCATGCAAAAAAATTCAAAATGTTAACATTTTTGCCAGAATTTTTTTGCAACTTTTTTTACGTCGATACCAAATAGATACATATCATTTTTTATATGAAGATTATTGCAATTAAAATAACAAATAATTCTTAGAATATCAATCTGACTCATTTGGATCTGAAATAATTGTATGTTTTAAAAAAATTATTGCCGCAAAATATAGGCTTATCACTTGATCTTTAAATTTCAAGTCTTTTGATTTTTATGTATTAAAATCAAAAGGCTTGAAATGCCAGAATGAGTTACAAAATTGGCAGTAGTTAATATATTTTAAATTATTCTAGCAGACTTTGTGCAAAGAAATATGAAAATTTTCTCAATACTTTGTATTAAAAGTCTCATCCGAAAAATGAGGCTACAAATTAAATTGACTTCCAAAAAGGTCCGCAAAAAGTCTTCAAAACTATTCTTATGAACTTGAAATATAAAAATAACTTTGAACAAAGCAATAAAAAGTAAATTAAGTAATAAGTAAGCAAGGTGCTCAATATTGATGAAGTTATTAAAAGCTTCGATTACTGAGCGACTTGACTAGCCCAAAAGCCAACAATTTAACGTAATTGCCTTAAATGTGGTAGGTATAAAAAAGCATTTTACATAAAATAAAAAATTTTGGAATAAAAAGTGCTCGCTAGAAGTAACAGGAAAGCAAAGTGAAATACACAATAAAACAAATCAATGTCTAAGAACAGCACTAAAATATAGATAAATCTGGTAGAAGAAATTTTACGGTGAAAAGTAACTTAAAATTTAATTTGATCTCAATGAAGGTAAATGAGGTGGGAAAATAAAAAATTTGAATCTTTTCATAGCATTCACTTATTTTCATTTTTGCATTTATTGAAACTTTTTAGCTTTAAACCAGTGGGAATAAAAGTAGTTCGCCTCAGAAACTGATATTATTGAAGCAGTTGTCGACGTAATGAACGGTTGTCAACGACGAGCAGTACTTCCAGTGCTTTTTTACTTATCTTTCGTAGCTTTGTTTATTAGCGATTGTCAAGCGGTTGTTTTGCATCTTCCGCACTATACTGTGCAAAATGTGCAAAGTGAGTCTTGTTTTGTTTCTCTTTTACTGCTTATGAGATCACGAAGTAGGGAAGCTGATTTAAGAGTTGCTAATTATTCAGGCTTGCAACAGCTACCTCACAAATTTCGCACGTCCCACTTGAACACAATGCTACATCTATTTCTCAAATTTATCATTTACAAATTAATTAGAATGATTCAATACATGAAAACAACTGGCATGCTTTGGAGCTGAAATTCATCCAAATTATTTACTTCAAATATCATTTTTATTGTACAAGCATTGAAAAATTTAAAAATGAATTCTTGTAAAGTAGCAAAAATCCTCTCAATTCACAGCCATTTATGAAAATTGTTTTTATCTTTTTCGGACTTTGAGTCAGTACCATATTGACTTAATAAGTACACAAGTATTTGCCGTTAGATTCAATTTCCGATCTACTAATAAAGTGTATTTTCAACTGAATCTTGTCCGAAAATTTATTTCCAGCAAATCAGGAAACGATTCAAAATGATTTCTTGCTGCTAGAAACAGTCCTTTTCGACTTTTTCAATATTTTCACTCGACCTATTCAAACAGTTCTCAGTGATAAAGTATCGTCCAAAAACCATCAAAATGCTACTTACACTTCCAGAACTTTGCCTCAAAGTGAAGGTATTAATTAAACATTACTCGCTTCAAATATCACTTTCACCTACAATTTTTAAATTATATTCAATAATAAAATCATTTTTATAAAATATTTGCCGGAAAATATTTTACTGCTGTATTTAAGTCATAGATAATTGATCAGAAAAAAGCAAATTGAATTATTAAGTCTCCTCTAAGTAAACTGCTTTGCTTTCATGAAAATTATTTTACTCGATTCATGCATTTAATAATATTTGTACAAGTCTGAAAACACTATTTTTTGCATAAAATTAGCCAATTTTCTCGTTTGTAAATTTTTTTTGTTTTGTTAAATTTTTTGTAATAAAATTCCCTTTTGAAAAAAATAATCACACAGAAAGCGAAATTATTGAAGAAATAATAAATGTCGTCAAGGATTTGCCTTCTCCAACCTTCGCCAAACAAAAACATTTCCGTGACTTGATCAGATCAGCGAATTCATTAAGTGCGCTTTATTTGATCAGATCAGTTCAACTTTTACGATTAATATTTTTTAGCAAGCAATATACTAAAAAATTAAACTCGCCAAAAGTAATTTAGTTGCTAATTTCTTCAAATGTTTGACCTCAATTTTGAGTAATTTGGATAACTTGTAATAAAATTAAATTTTTTCCATAATCTCTTTTAGACTTCACGATATGTTAGAAATGAAATAAATATTCATTGTAAAAGTTAAGAAACGCTCTTGCTAGAACATAAATTTAGATTAGATAACTTCGTTTATGACTTAATTTTTGATGCGAAATTTTTACAAATAAAATGGGAAACAAATTAACAGTTGGAATTCAAAACTGCATTGATGATTTGGCTAAAGTAATTGAGTCGACTGCAAGTGCTCTTTTAACCTCGACATACTGTCGTTTAATTGGCCATAACGATACAAATTTCAAACAGTGCTTCGGTAATAATTATTTGTAAATTTGAATCCTGAAAAATTAAAAAAATTTCGAAAGTTTGTGCTATATTTGGTTGCTTGATGTTTTAGTATATATTCAAGTACTACTTAATTTTTGGTATTTAAACAAGCTCGCCATTTTTCTTGTACTGCTGATTATTTTCAGCTTACAGTCAGGATAACCATCAATCAGCTCAAATTCTTGATGCCTGGGGCCGTCCACCAGCTGGCATCTACTCATCCGGCCCTTTATTCTGGCTTGGAGCTTATGATCAGTGCCTTAGCTTGTCTAAGAGTAAAACTGTGAATCAGTCAGTACAGTACTGCCGGGCAAATGTTGATGTCGAAGCAAATAAAATACAGCAGCATAAAATAACTCTTTTTTATGGTTATTTGTTACGAATTTAATTCAAATGAGCTTAAGACTTGATTAGCACATTTTACTGCTTATGCTTTCATTGCATTTATCACTAATAATGACTGTAGTTTTCAAATTTATTGCATAAAATCTCAACCTTTTCAGGAATGTGTTTACCAGCTACTTGTAATGAGCAGTACATTAAGGAAATTTTTTTCATCGCATCTCGACTTTTACTCAAAACTTTCGACATTTCAATATCGAACAGCACAACAGTGGAATGTTTTCAGTCGAAAGTTGCATTATTTCAGAAATTTGGCCACGCAGAGGTAGGCATATTTCTCATTCTCTAATATAAAGATCAGAAAGTTCGAACCAAAGATCTGTCTTGCATTATTTTGAAAATCTTCTCTAGGGGACGATTGTATTAATTGCTGCTTTAATTTTATTGGTACTTTGTGGTACTGTGTTCGATTTTTATCGCAAACCACGTAATAGGAAGTATTCAATAAACAAAGGTTTCAATTTTTCCAATTTTTAATGGCTATAATTTGAAATATGAAACTTCAACTTCTAATTTCTTTGATTAATCAGTGCCAGTAAATGATTACTAGTAAGACAAAATGGTGTGAAATGGTATAAAATAATTTATTTACTTTTGTACTGATGTACTCGAATTTGTGCATTAGCCATGCATCGCTCTTTATTAACTTCAAAACTTGTTCAATTTTTATTTTTTATTTCAGTTTAGTGATAAAAGTTTTTGTAATTCATAATTACTGGTATATTCTGTAATCAAGTTTTTTATTGAAAAGAACTAAATTATAAAAAGACTTTCGAAGAACAAAAATGGAAATAGTAAAATTTTCAAGTGCTACAATAAAATTGCAGCATACGAAAACAAAACAGTTTAGTTCAGATATTTTCTTGGAATTTAAAAATGTAACGAGCGCAGTGTTAATACTAACAACAGTAATAGCAATTCAATCGAACTACAAAAAGTTACAGAAAATGAATTTTTTTCATACCTTAAGCATTTTGAGCTACAAAAATAACTCGATGCATATATTGTGCATTGAATGTTGCACTTTCGTTACTCTCAGAACTCACAGTTGGAGCATTGATTTAAAAACTAGTTTACTGGAAATTATTTTTCTCATAAAACGCAGCGAATTGAGCCAAAAAAGGAAAAAGGCAGATCCAGAGTGTGTAGCTGACAGAAAAGTTGAAAAAGAAAACTAAAGAGTTTATTTTGGTTCTTAAAAATTTCGATTTCGAAAATTCTCGGAAAATTAATAGAATATGGAAAAATTTATTCGGTTTTTTTTGCTTTATTTTTTCAACTTATTTTAGTTGTTCTCACCACTGTTATTGCCATTGGTACTGGAACAACATTGCAAATCTATCTTATTTTTGATGTAAAAACAATTCTTTTAAAACTTTCCCACTAAACTTTAATCATTTTAACACCTTATACCACTCACGGAATGTTATAAAAAGCATTACGTAAATTTACTTGAAATTAATACTGTAAAACTCATGGTTCACAATCTGAAAAATCTTCTCAATTTTGCGCTCAATACACTTTCTGATGTAAACATTTTTTTCAGTGCATCGAGTAGCATATTTAGTATTTGAGTTCAGAAAGCTAATTATATCTTTACTTTTAATGCAAGTACTTGCAGTGCCATCAAGCACGCTCAGTCACTTTACAACACGTTTAGCACCGAGTGTGCATTCCATGTTTTCTGATACTTCTTCCAAATTTATGCCATTCCTTCAAGAAGATGCAAAGAGTTTCATCTACACCGACGCTCCATCACAAGCTCTTACCTACAAAAGTGCTTTAGCTGTACGAAAAACGCTGAAAAAGCCTAGTTGTCTCATAAATGCCGTCAGTTTCCTTACTTTTTGATCACTTTGAACTGATAATTGAATTTAATGTTAACACTAATTTTCATTAAGAACTCAACTTAGAAGAGAAAATACTTTCCATAAATGATTTTGACATTTTATTTATGCTTAAATCAAATATTGTTACAAGTAACATCAAATTAATTGCAAAAAAAATTAAGATTTACAAAAAATTTATTAAGATTTTTATGTAATAATAAAAATCGAATTTATTAATGCAAAGTATTTGACTATACTAAAAGGCAGATTAAATTTAGATACTTGCATTCAGCGCAAGATCAAGTTATCACTATTTAACTCGTTCAAGTAATCGCCATCTTAAATCACTTCATGGAATTAGGGTTTTAAGCGCTTTTTGGGTAATATTTACTGATTACAACAATCTTGTAATATTTATAATATTTTTGATTCAAGTTAATAATTGATAAGACTTACAAAAACTTAGTTAATAGTCTATATCTTTTACAAAATTACCGAATTCTGTTTTTTTACTTATTCCTGCAAATTTTAGTCAAATGCATAAATACGCATAAATATAGATTATTAGCCCTTCAGATTTTAAAATGCAAGAAAGTGAGATTACAGTCTCATTAAAAATGCATAAATTTCACTAAATAACATTAGCAAGATAAGTTTACTGTTCAGCAAAAAAGAGATATTCAGGTAGTGCTTGGACACGCACACTTGCTTTCGTTAGAGTACATTGGCAATGTCCGGCAGCTATGGACTTCACTTAATGCCAGCAAGCATTTAGCACAAATCATTCTTAACTCATCGCTTTCGGTCGACTCATTTCTACTTCTGTCTGGCACAATCCTATCATACAAAGTCAACTTTCGTGCTGGTCAGCAAAATAATAGGAACAGAAAGTCGCCGTTTTCAGTTCAGAGTTGGCTATTAGTTTGCTTACATCGCTTTATGCGGTTGCTTCCTGCCTACCTCATTCTTTTCGTTGTTATGCATAATTTGTTTCAATACTTGGGAGATGGCCCCATGTGGTCACAACAGAAAGGTTACCCTCAATATTTGTTTATCATAGTTTACAATAATGAAATACTAATCATTAATGAGTAAATGCAAACACAAATTTTTAGTTTTGGATAGAAATTCGTAATAATGTTTATCTTAATAGCCAGAAGCTAAAATTTATAGGTACTTATTCAATTTGTTGCAAAATAGTTGTGGGGGCAATAAAATATTTCTTTGAAACTTTACTTCAAAAATTTAAGAAATCGTTATTTTTAAAATTTGTCGACCTTTTGAAAACGTTGTCTTAACTGAATGTTACTACTGAAACATAAATTTTAAAAACAAGAATTTATTTCCCTTACTTTAAATATTGTAAGGTGTAATTAACTCACAAGCTTGTTGAATGCTACGTTTTTAATTAATTTAGCATTAATTTTTGAATAAAAGTAAAAAACACTACACTAAACTTTAGGAATATTTGGTGCTCGTTGTCACACAGATGATTTTTGGAGACAGTTACTATTTGTGAGTAATTATTTCCCAAACGAATGCATGCCTTGGATGTGGTATCTTGCACTGGACACTCAGTTTTATATAGTTAGAATTTGATTCTACATTTATTCAAAAATCTAATAAAATAAAATGCAAAACAGTTTGTGTACTATGTTTAATTTCAAATCTTAAAATTACGCACTGAATACGAGTAATTTAGACTTAAAATCTACTTCTGCATCATTAATATTTTCATCGATAATAAATCATATTTGCTCACATTTTATTAACAATGAATTGAAGCGTTAACACGTCTTTACTTCTCTTTTTCAAACCATTTATTTGCTTAAAAGTATCACAAAAGTTTCTAGTAAAGTCTCAAAATTCAGTCCATAGACAGTAAATGGATACTTTTTCAATTACACAGAGACTCAAATATTAAGTTTACAAACGCGAAAGATCGTGAATATGATCTTTTGTGTATTTGAATTTGACCTTTTCAATGTCCAAGTAATGCTTGAGAAAAATTTTTTTTTTAATTTTTGCGTTGATGGGAAAACTTTCTTCGTATACCAAACTTTGTCAAAAAAAGTTGTAATAACATTAGGTAGATTAAAATTTTAGGCTGCTCCAATTATCTTATCGGTGTTATACAGTGTACCAATGATTGCTATTGTACTTATCATTCTCATCATATCAATATCTATTGTATACCGAGTTGTGGTTATTTTATTTTTTAGGTAACGTGACGTTAGGTTTAATTTTTTCACCTACAATTTATAATCATTGAAGATAATAAATATTTTACAGTTTTACATAATTTGATTTTCTAAAAAGTGTTTCTTTAAAAAGATTTCAGTAAGTAATCCAAGCACAAAAGTTTTTTATTCTTTTTAGATGATATTCTGATTGTTTGTTTGAAGTAAATTTAAAATATTTTTTGAAAAGAAATTTTGGCAAATGCTTTTGTTTTCATTTTCTTAGCATAAATACAAAAGATTTTTCGATGCGCAATTAATGCTTTAATTTAAGACTAAATTAAAAATTTGAATACGAAATGATGCACTATCGTGCAGATAAATTTCAGATTTCCTGCTACTCTTGCCTTAGCTTTACTTGAAAGTGAAGGTTTAGCTACCGAATCACTGGAAAAGTTATTTCTCTATCTTTACGCTTCTCCACAGTCAAGAATTGGTCCATTTTTAATTGGTAAATTTAAATTCTTCCTATTAATGTAGCGCAATTAGCATCGAAATTTTTTTCTTGTGCAAATTTTAGATGCAATTAAATTATTAAGAAATTATTTTAAAAATAACTTCATTTTCCTGACTGTTTTATCATATGTTTAAAACAATGATAGTTTTAAACTTAAAAGACTTGAAAATCATAATTACGCAAAACTAGAAGGAAAAAAGTACAAGTAATATGTTATCATAAATATTATACATATTAGCATCCGAAAAAATGCTAAAGTAATATAATTTTTAACTTTTATCTGACTCTTTCAGATAAAGATTTATGTTACAATAAAATTTTCATAAAATTCAGGGTTATTAAAATTTGCAGTCAATTTTCCATAAATTCAGGGTTATTAAAATTTGCAGTCATTTTTTGCGTATTGACTATTACTTTAAAATTTTTTAATAAAATTTGTAATTTCAATTATTTGCAATCGTATTAGTAAAAGAAATGTACAGATGAATTTAATTATTTTTAAAATATGTCAAATTTGCGTTTTCAGGAATTCTTCTTGGATGGTTACTTTCAAAAAAACCAATACGCACCTTTTCTACACCGCATATTGATATTATGCGTTTTAGTTCCATTGCAATGATTTCTTTCGCCATATTTGGAGCAGTTTATGCTGATAAATTCAATATATTTTCAGTTTTTTATGCTGCTACATTTAGGTTATTTTTTTCATACCTTTCTCGTGTAACACCAAATCATGCATGAATTCTCTAAGCAGTAATGTTAAAAGTGTAAATTTGCATGTCAAAATGTCTTTATTTCTTCTTTCTGCCAAGAATTTGACAGTAAGTTTGTTATCGGAGCTTTTTACAGGAAACCAACAGCTACAAGTTACTTGGATGAACTTCTTTAGTTTTTTCAAAAAAGTTGTAGACAGCTGTAAATCAATCAGATCTAATGTATTGTTAATTAATAGTCTTTTTTATTGAAAAGTAATGCAGATATATGCAGTTAAAGATGTTGCTCAAATCTGCACTGTTTTAAGGGTAATTTGGGCAATTGGTCTATCTATGCTTATTTGGTTATGTGAACGAGGTTACATGAATCCCATACAGTCATGCCTAGCTTGGAATAAATGGATTATTTTTTCAAGGTCAATTTGTCATTAGAACCAAACATATGAATCAACTTTTAATGCACATTCATTAATTGCTTCATTATGCTCTTATTATGAATTTTGTATTTATGAAGTGAAAACCGCAATTCAAGTGATCGGATTACTTCAGCTTAGCTTAATTAACTGAGTTATTTATTCACTGATATATTCCTTTCAGATTATCTTACGGATTTTATTTGTCGCATGAGCCGATTTTGCTATATTTTATTTGGAGTCGCCGTTCCGCCATGATGCCCCTTTCTCCTTCATACTTTGTCGTTTTCGCTCTTGAAATTACACTATTATCATTACTTGCTGCATCTATCATAGCATTTGTGATCGAGGTCAAGCTGACAATTATTCGTTGAAATTATTAGTAATCAGCAGTTTAACTAGCTCACAAAAGCACAATTTTAATTTTTGTAAACGAACAAGAATTTTTTTTGCAAAATAAAATATCAAAGTAGAAACTAAAAATTGCTATAAAGACTTTCCGTAAGTAAGCAAATTTCTTCTCGACAATAAATTTTAAGATTCCTCCTCTAATAATTGAGCGTAAACTGTTCAAAACTATTCGTGCACGAGTTGGATCCAAAAAATCGTCCCAGGATGAAAAAGTAGATGGAGCCAATCATCAAGATATCGAATCCATCGTTCATTTGAACAATAAACGGTAGATAAGCTCTTATAAGTAAACGTGCACCACAATCATGCAAACTGCCAAATTATAACAGATTATAAAAATTTATTCCTCGAATAATTTTTGCTCATGAATTAACTTAAACTTCAAGTTCCGTCATAATTTGAACAATAAGAACAACATCTTTGTGCTTCCATTTTTTAAGATTTGTCATTTTCTAAATACCAGTCTGTCGCTCCTTCTTGCATTCCCATCAAAATACTTCAATTTTAAGTTGTTCTGTATTGTTCTGCCCATGCAAATCGATGATTAGAGTCGAGTAATTTCATGTAAAATATTAATATTAAAAGAAGTTATTAAGTGGGAATTATCCTCACTGAGTTTGGAGGACAATTCCCACTTAATAATTACTTTTAATATTAAAAGTATGGAAACAAAAGTTTTTAAATATTTCTGTAGCTTGGTACCATATAGTTGAATTACCATGTAGTTAATGCTTGGTATTGCTTCATACTATGCATTCAAAATGCTAATTGTAAAAAATTTTGATAGAAAGCATTAGAAACAAATCTTAATTTATTTGCAGCCTAACAGAACTTGTACCAATGTTGCCACCCATGAGTCGTACAAGGCAATGGGTTGAAGAAAATAATCGAGTTGAATCGAAGAATGAATTCGAACCACCTTTTGATGGCGTAATAAAAGTCTTATATTCTTTTATCACTCTGAAAGATATCTGAATGTGTTATTAGTTTAAATCAGTTTTTAATTCATGACTTTGTGAATAATTTTTCAGCTGGATGCAATCAATAAAGATCATAATTCCTTGAAAACAGAAGTTGCTAACACGAAGCTAAATAAAGATGAAGAGATTACTACGGATGAAAATGTTTCCACGTGTAAAACATCTTCAACTATATCTGCAAAACGAAAACAGAAATTCCAAAGTAATAAATGTTATCTTTATTTCTAGAGCAACAGAAACTTTACATGATTGCCAAAAAACTGAAAAGGGAAAGATCGAAGTTTTAAGTGTTCTTCTAGAAAAAAATGCTTACAATGAAAATATTTGCTGATTTTTCTCGTCTTTTTTCTTTTCAGAATTTCAATAGATGTAATTTTCAATTATTAGTAGAGTTGATATAAATAAATCATAAATAAGGACGAAAACTGAAAGTGACCTAAGTGTTTGCCTAATCCCTTTGCAAGTTCTTTGCATACTTTGTCACTAAGTATTCTTCAGCACGCACATTACTTTCTGAAAAAGCGAAAATTTTGCGCTAAAATTCTTTGAACTAATTTTTCAATCGTATTATTTAATTTTGCATGTTAAGATGATACATTATTCTGTGCTCCAAAAAAACTGGTAAGAAAGAAGGAATTGCACGGTCATGCAGGTATTCTCAGCAACAAGTCTGCCTGCAAGAAGAATACTGTAATTGAAAAAGATCAAGCTCTTGTAAGCAAACGAAGAAAGCAATAAAAAAATAACTTTTGAAAAGATATTTTCTAAAAGATTAATTTTTTTGTTGGAATGATTAAAAAATTGAAAAAATTTTTAGAAAAAATGAGCGTTTCTCGTTTTGGATGAGATTGAATGTTGGTATTCAAAGATGTAAATGAACAGATTTCAGGGAATGCATGAATCAACTTCGGAAAGCATTGGCTTTTCTTGGATAGAAGAACTGACTAAGAAGATTAAGACAGAAGGAAATGACAAATTGATGGGATCATTTTCTGGTTCGAAAATAATTTGTAAAAGGTTTGTTGATTACTTGACAAAATCGACATGAACATATGCTTAACTTGGAAATAATCATAGTTAAAATACTTCAAGGGAGGTCAGACAAAATAGCAAATGCAAGCAGCAGCAGATGTATTTAAACACTGTTCCTGAAATCGAAGAAATAGCATCAAAACAATCGTCGAGTTCAACTAGCACTGACGAGACTGTAAGTCTACTGAAATATTTGTATGTTTTGATTCTTATTTGGCTTTATTCTTTCTCTCTTTTGTTCTGTCTTGAGCTTTTACATTTTAGCTTCTGCATTTTGTAAATACCTTCTAATTTAGCCAACAACTGAATTCGAAAAAGGGATATATTATTTAAATTGAAAGTAGAATATCTCTGAATTGCAGGATCAGCAAATAAGAAGTGCTAGAAATTGTAGTATTTAGAAAAAATGCCATTGTTCTGAATTTATGATTTTATTGGCAATAAGAAAATTACATCGTTTTTTCCAGGTCATTCATGTGTTCAAAAAGCATTATTTGAGTGAAGAATCTAATTTGTGAAGAAATCATAGCAACATAAGAAAAAGATTGAAATCACTCGATCTAACCATGTAACTTCCGAATAAAGTGACTTTTGATACTAAATGCATCACAAGATAAAGGAATATACAATAAACATGCAGTTTTGATAAAGGAATGTGTGCAAGGTGATAGAGTAAATTTAAGAGTTTCATGGCGCCATCACGTTGAAATATAATTGCCCCGTCTACAGACACAATTAATTAGTTTTTATTCTCTATGCATATATTATGTCAAGATCACAAGAAATTCGCAACGCTCTAAAAATTTTTGCGCATTATTTATTTGATTAAGAGATATAGTACTTTTTTATTGAGTGCGTCTTTTAGCAGCAAATTTTGAGCTAATGCCAAATAACGCTTTAGAGAAAAAAGTGTTTTTAGCGGCGATGCACTGAGTATCAGCCTGACAAGAGCGAATATACGTTAATAAAATATTAAACGCAGCAAAGATACGTTGTATTTGTGATGCATTTGTGATGTCGGCTTTAATTCTGAAGACTTTAATCTTCAAAGAACTGACAATCTGAACTTTAATTTTGCTGACACTTTTAAAAGAAAATTTGAAAACAGTTTATTAGAATGACTGAAAAGTTATTTAAAACTTATTTTCTTTATCATCTATTAATTCAAATTTGGGCTGAAAGTCACTCAATTAAAATTTCCTTTAATGACGGGAGTTTATCAAAAACTTGATTAATTAACTGAAGCTATACCGAGTTAGCATCAAATTGTACAATCGCTTAAGACTAACAAAGCAAATTGTTAAGCATTCTGAAACCCTTTAACACACAGATGTGAATCTCCTGTAAACAATGGCTAATGCAAGCAACTGCAAGCGGGAATCAATTGTAATGCTATACAATTTTTTCTGTACTATTTAGAGAAGTTATAAATTTTGTGGAAAGCATTCAACTAATTGTAATTGCCAAAAGCAATTGCGTGTGTTACTTTCATAGTTTAGTTTAGGTGATCAAATTTTTAGATTGCAAAAGCTTCCAGTGATTACTCGTGAATCTTATTTTGTAAATTAAGTGAATTATAAAGAAAATAAAGTGTAAGTTTAATTTCTAATCAATCTATCAATTTATATGAGATGTTTGGGAATATAAGATTATATTAGCTATCATTTGTTAATTACATGAGATTCTTTGAACTTCTCAAATGAATGTAAAACGAATGAATCTTATGCATTAGTTTTTGATAAGAATTATATTCAGAAAATTAGTAAAATCAATTTCAGTATTGCTATTAATTTTTATTAATTTATTAACATTTCATCAATACATATTAATTTAAGATAACTCTATGTAATATAAAAGTTGTAAAAAGAGTGAAACAAATGCGAGTTTTGGATACTATCAAATGATCAAATGCGGCATTGCAAAGCGATGTATGACAGCAACAATCCCAAATTTTGACCAGTGGTCCTTTGACATACCCCATATATTTGGCACCAACAAGTCCGAGAGTACAGTCTTCAGTCTATAAAAAGCCCAAAAGAGAGTAATATGCTTCTTACTGATAAAAGGTAAAGGCTATGATTTGAATACTGATTAGATTATATTTTACCACTGGATTTGACAAATAGATTTTGGCATCTAAAAGTCAAGTAAATATCAAATATTTAAATTTTTTTCAAAGTTTTGAACTCACTTTGCAAGTTCCTTCGTAATCACAAGATTTTGTTGTGAATGATTGCTGCTGAAAACGAAAAATTAAGTGGAAAGTATACTGTCTCTGAGAATTTAAATGCACAAACATAATTACAATTATAATAACAGTTATTTACTAGACAGCTTTCACTACTTGCGCTCCAAAGAATATTATAAATGAACATTTTCAGTGCTTAATTTCAATCATTCAGTTTTTATTGATGGAAATGACTTTGCATGAATAATTATTACTGCAAGATTGCGTAATTGGAACGTATTGATGTAGGTATTGAATTTATACTTGAAATGTAGATTTTTAAAATTACATTTTAAATGTACTCTCCAATTTATGCATCAAGTTGCAAGTTTATTATTCGAAAATTAAAATATATCTTAATCTTCGATTAGTAAGCTTACAACTTAATTCATACATAGGAGTCTAAGGAATCGGTAATATGCTCGTTCTCAATTCTTGAAATTAGGATCAATTTCATGTTTCGGTAATCACTATGTTTTTCAGGAAGTTCAGTTCGTATCCAGAACTCGATTTTGTGCAATTAAAAGTTTGAGAATTTTTTCAACTTCCAAAGATCTGTTGTAACATCACAGTAATACAGAATTTTATCAATTATTCAAATTTTTGTCTTGTTTATATGTAAAAAAACAAAAAATCAACTTTCAGCAAATTACATGACCTTTCTATTTCACCTTTAAAAAGCTCTGAAAATAATACTTATTAGCAAAAATGTATTGTTCAAACTCACCTCTTGAAGATCAAAACGGTGATATTTGATGCAGAAATTTGCTGCTTTACAAGTTTCACCTTTGAAAAAAATTGACGAATGAAAATATTCATATGAAATTCCCCAGTAACAGTTTAAGCCAAATACCGAATTTGTCGGGATTATCACAGTTAGGAGAATAATGAATATAGTGGCACAAATTTCTTCAACAAAAATGAAGAATCATGCTAGCTCAAAAAGCAAATGGTTTTTAAAAAATGAAATTTTTGACGCCAAGCCAATATACATTTTATTTCCAAATAATGTAGTTCTAATTATATTCAATTTCTGAAGCATATATTTCCTGAAAATTTGAAAACAAATTCCTGCAAACAAAATCTTACTCTTCATTAGCAATACGAAATGACATCTGCGATACAAATATATTTAGTCAATGG